CGTGTATTGCGAACGCTATAATTAACACCGTTTGCAATGTGCTAACGTTGCTACTGATAAAGTAATTGTTGATATTTCCGCGTAATTAAAAACAGACGAAGTTGCAAAATCGGTTTATCGAACGGACTTTATTATACCTGATTCTGTTTTTCATATCACTTATAAAATGAGTGTGAATATAATAAATTCTAGAAAATAATAATTGTATCCTATAACTAAAATTGATTGTCTAATTATGTATTTTTTTTATCTTAGCGTACTTCTTAGGCGTTTAGTACATATATTACCTAATAGTATAATAATAACTGTCATACTCAGAATAAGCGAATAATTAGCCTATTACAGTTCGAACATCCAAAATTAATTGTAAATTGTTTCGGGCGCAGTCTTTTTAGTTTTTAGAGTTTTTATAGTCTTGAACACTCATTCTAGTTCGATGATTTGATGAAAATCGACTTAATCGACACTTGTAAATTTGTAAAATTTGGTGTCAATTGGCGGTGTTTACTATCGTTATTAGGACTCGTCTCGTCTTTGCTCATTTTAAAAAAATATTAATTCTTCTAAATACATACTGTGTGTAAAGAATGTGCCCTTAAAATTGCGAAACAATTTTTATATGCATATTGTAACTTTTTCTTAATACCAGAAGATAAAATTCAGGATTGTATCTTCTGGTATTAAGAAAACGTTACAACTGTACATGAATTTAAGAAGTTAAAATATATCAACGAATATATGTAATCTGTCAGATAGCTTTATAAGCTGTATAGTTTGGTTGTATGATCAGATTAGGCACTGAATTTACAGTATAAGAGGCATGTCATCTTAGTCCTGAGCAATGGCTATGCATGAGTGGTACATCGAGTTCACAAGATAACGTGATGTTCGTAGCGCTGTTCATGTATATAGACGCCGGTTACAACCATCAAGGCAGTCAGTTTGTTTAGCGTTAGAAACATAAAGAAAAACCGGGGATTGTCCGGATTAATTGCTTTAAATAGAATAACAGCAGAAAGTTTTCTGCTACAATATAATTATACTTCCTCAAACTCTTTGTAATACTTAATTGAGTTGAATGTAATAGGGGTATATCAGTGTTTACTAAGCGGGGCGGGTCTTAATGAGCGGCTTGTTGTAGTTTGACAGAGTGATTTAATATCGCGCCGTGATCGTTTCAGTAAATCGGGATTAGTTTGGGGTGAGTCCGCAGCGTGAATTATTGCGGAGAATATTGCGTGTTGTCGTTCGGCTTGTATTCGCTATATGGAATTGAATATTTATTGCCATATTGCCGTTATAAGGTCAGATGTGTATCGGCCTGTTAAACTTTCTTCATTAGTAGTTTCGGGTTGTTTGAAAATCGTATTTATCATATACTAGTGAACCTTTTATGGAGTATTAATGAAAATTTTTATTAAATTTGAGTAATGATACGTTAATTGATGTATGGACACATCGGGTAAAGTAAAATTTATTGTGCATAAAAAAAATTGTGTTAATATCGGTCTATTCATTTAAGAACTACGATGCCACAGACATGTCAAACTTAGCCCATCCCTTTTTGCGATGGAAGTTAATAAATTCTCAATTAGACTTCCTTTTCTTGTGCGTCTTTCTTAACTCTACTTCTCTGTAGACTTATGAAATATTCTATTTCTATAACTATATAGAATTAAAACAAAATATAAGTGTATTAAATAATGTTGTTATTAGTCTAAAATAATGTTAAAATATTTCACGTGCGCATCTTATAAGAGATTTGCTCTATTTATTCGATATTGTTTGTATTAAGTCCAGTGTAGAGTGATATATTTTAAGTTCAATTTACATTGTATAGTTGTAAAAATACAGAAGCTGTCAAGCTCTAATTGTTTCGTTGAATTATTGTTTGAGAGAACATACTCATATTGAATAATATTTTTGAGTACATGTTGTTTTTTTGTTGTTTGTTATGTACCATCATAGCCCAATATTGTAATGTGTAGAAATGAGAGACTGTACATAAGCAACCTATATCTGTGGTTGTTCAGTATTATATATTTTTATTTTATATACAGGAGCTGGAATCCGGTTGTGGTTATGAGTGCTGGAGTGTGTGCTGCACTCCAACAATTCGTTCCTGTGGTGTGGCGTTGGAGTTATGGTATCCTCGCTCCAGAATACTACGTCCTCATATGTCTCGGTATTTACTTATATTTAGTTTATATCTCTTATATTCCTATTTATTACCTCTGACAAAGTGACAAGTAATAGTTCAATGAGATTTTTTTAAAGAAATAAATTATGTAACTGTTTCGAAATATGTAATGAAACATGTATTCGAATGTTTGGTCAAAGGATAAGTTGTTTGTTTTTGACGTGAGATATCGATAATATAATGTATGCTTTTAATTACTGACAATCTCTCTGCTTCATATATAATCCTTAAATTTCAAAATGAATATGGTTTTCACTGACGTGTATTTTTTACTCAGCTATCGGAGCTGCTTGTACCCTCATTATGTCGGAAAGCAGATTGCAAAAGTAAACCTAAATTTATTATATTCTTGCTGGACCGGATCTCGTAACTCGGGTCACGGGTATTATTTAATATTACTACCTAGTGGTACAGACAGATATTTTTCTTCGTTTGTTAATACATATTATGAGTATTTTACTCGAATATTTTAGATTCAGTATTCAATGAGCGTTGTCTGAATTGAATAAATATTATTATTCTAAATTATTTAATTCCTACAATATTATTTATCGGAAATTGACTAGACATATTTGGGATATGAAGAAAGTTTGAAAAAATTTGATTTTGATTACAGAATTTCTAAATTTCAATTTTGTTCGTTTACGTTATATATAATGTATTGACAGAGCTTCTAATATGTTATTGATCACTCAATTAGTTTCTATTTTATATGCAGTTAGTATTATTTTATATAAAAAGTATTCAATTCAAATTCAAAAATCATTTATTCATGTAGGACATTTTAGCCGCTTATGATATTGAAATATAAGCAGAAATAAATATATAATTCTAAACTGTAAATCGCCGTCAGTACATAGAAGGTATAAAACTATACGTAATATTATTTATATACGTATACGTATGTATATAATAGTATTTTAGAACTTTAACAAAAGGTAATTAAACACAAAAACAAAGTTTGTTAATATTTTTATATGTTTGTGCGCGTCATTTTCGGTTTTCACCAATCTACTATGGCAAGCTATACTAAAATTATGCGTATGTTTTATTCCAATAGCTTACAAACAAAAAATATATACCATTGTCATTCTTAAAAATACCATAGATATGAAGTCGCGGACTTAGCTGCTAGCTAAGTAATATAACATATCTGAAGCAATTTATGTACTTAGTAATTACGTTATTACACTTTTCTGATCTATACGAGGTAATATAAAAATAAGAGATTAAAATGTCTATTATAACTCATTAGGTGTAATGGTACCTAGGTGTGGTAACAATTACCATGCGTGTTGAAAGAAAAGTTCGCGGTCTAGCTATGTAGCGATACTAATATCCTCATACACCTATGTGTATGAGGGCATTGTTTTACTCCTTTTCGTAGGTACCTCCACCATCAAATGAATATTAAAGTAATTAAGTATATTCAGTTCCTAAAATTTTATTAGACATATCTACATGTTTGCATAATTTGCAGATTACATACGTATATTTTGTTAATCCAATTTATTATATATCTTTTATAATGCATTAACTAATTAACTAGTCTACTTAGCTTTAGTATAATAGTTAAGTAAGTATTAACCGGTTTTATACTTAAATGCCCTATAAAACTTGTAATGCACCTATTTATTAACTGCATGAAAATAGTGTATCAGCTTTAGTATTAAAATTCATATTTATTAAATTTATCAGTGAAATATTAACATAAATATCTTGCTCGTTGGGATACAACGTTTCGCCATTAGTGTTGTAGTTTGTAACGGCCCTGATAACATTCCCGTTTCCAGCCCCAACATTTCTGTATCCACGTAGGTAGGTATACTGCAATTACACCTTAAAGATTTGTTAGCAACTACTCTGGCTGTGCCACGAGTTATGAGCATGGACGGTAGCAGAAACACTCTCGCACTTTATTGGTATTGTGATCTGAAATAATCCGAATAAATTCGAAAGTGTGTCTGCTTGTCTATCTATTATCTCTTTTACGATTTGCCTTTTAAACGTAGACGTTGTTATTTAAAAAAAGTAGTCGAAAATGCGAATTTTTAATTATAATAATATTTAGATATTTCTGCGAAATATTTGTTATTAAAAATTTAATTAGGTATTACTATTTTTACTTCTTCAGTGTTTTATTCACTACGATGGGATATTTGAATTAATTATATTTACTAATAATCTATACCAATATTATGAAGTTATACGTCTTAAGTATGGACTTGTTAGATTGTATCTTAAAAGAATTTGTATCAATGTGGGATATCTCTATTGACTTGCATCACTGCACAAGCAAGCTGTGTTCGCGGGCGCCACATCTAGTTCGCCCACGCGTCGCACGCATCGCGAGCTTTCACAAGCATCGCGTACCACAGCCCTCGTACACAACTACGGACATTTACTATTGCCTTGCTCTGCACTATTTTACCTGTGAACACGTCTTCGACGACTGATTTATTTATCATTATTTTGTCGTATTACCTTAGAGCAATGATAAGTAGAAGCAGTATTAACTCTGATAAATAATCCAGTATTTACATATAAGTACTGCGCTATTTTCCCTGCAGAAACAAAATTTTTAATGTTTAAAATATTGATGACATTAAATATTGATGAAATTATTTAATATTTTTTGACACTTTTGTGTCTTTTGTAAATATGTTACATATAATTGGATTTGATCCGATTATTTACGCATTATTACGGCGGGATGCTGCGCGTGACAGCCTTCCTTCAGTCAGCGACGCGGAGCAGCGTGTGCGCACGCGTTCAGCGCCACGTTTCTAACTATTAGGAGCAGTCCATTTGTTTACCAACACGCCTCGATCGATGTACCGTGAGAACCGTTCGATGCCCAACTCTTGAATAAAAGTCACATTATGTCTTGCATACTGAACTGATTTTATCAGTGAATTAAATATTCAATTTGATGACTTTCTGTTAGTAAGATGTCAACACCTCGACCCTTTTATAAGCTGTCGCCGCCAGTTAATATTCTTCTTTGCTCATAAATTACAAGTATAATGTGACAGATGTATTTGTAGCAACTACATTTAAGAGTGTTTAACCAGCGATTGTACGATATGAAGCCCTCAGCTGTTATTGTTTATGTTATCGCACTCGCGATCATCGTCGGGGGCGAGATCAGGATTCGAGGCAAAGTGAGAAAAAGGTACACTATGTACAGGAGGCACCGGGCTATCCAGTCACCATGTAGCTTCAATGAGACTATTATAGATGATGAATGGTCTCTGATGGAGGCTATAGGGAAGTCTAAGTATATATTTACTGGAAAAGTTCTAAATGTAAAGAAATACAAGTCTGAAGAATTTGCAAGTAAAAGATCGAATTTATACAGGGTTTATATGAGACGAGTGCTGAAAGGGGATATAAGTAATTTAAGACAGTTTGTGAAGGTAGATGGCGATTCAGAAGGGACGTTAAGTGGTTCGACTTTTATGTTGGAACGCCCTGATGCGCCGGAGTCGTGTGCGCCAGCACCGCGGCCTCGACTTTCAGCCATTTTTTTGAGTGACGGGGCGTACGTCGATGTGGGAAGGGGACCTTCGCCAAGGCTGCGCCTGCTCACTGATCCAGTGCCCTTGACTCTTTACCACCTGGATAGAATAAATGCAGCAGTAAAAGGTAGGTGGTAGTAACACATAAAATAAAGGTGGATGTTTTTATTCACATTTTGCGAAACATGCGTAACACTTTAATTCTCAAAGTTGAATAACTGTGAAGATTGCCAAGAAGGTCAGTTTATATTGTCAAGTTAATAATGATGTATAAGTCATGCTTACCAGTTCCTATTAGGTTAGCCATCAGCTTATCAGTTTATATGTTACTTAAAGTACTCAGAATATTTACTCTTACACAGTGTTTACTAACTTATTTTGGATGCTTGGGTGTTGCAGATAGTCATTTAAATAAATATAATTTTTTAATTTATTACATTTCATCTGGCTGTACTGACGTTCCTCCAAATATGTTAAGTATGTTGATATATTATTATAGGAAGATTCTAGATATTAGGTAATTTTTTTCTTTAATAAATATGTATAACGAAATGATATAGAATTACAATGTTTATAATAAAATAACATTTTTAGTTTACAATAAAGACCTTCGAAAACAATGAGTCAAAGCAGAAAACGCGATTGTCTGATGAATATATAATTATTGGTTTAGCTTCATAATAGGACATTATAATAATGCGTAGGCGCAACGCTGTACTCATAATGCACGTGAAGGCATTAAGAGTTGATTTTGATCGACGTCTCGACAACTGTTCGTGTAGTTAATAGACTAAATCATCTGGTTTTGTAAGGCCGTACCGACTTATGTAGAACAATTGGGTTTACTTAATTTGGAATGCCAAACAAGTTGAAGGCTCACCAGATTGAACGTAGTGGCTTTATCTCATAGACACCAACCTATATTGCTATAGAAATACATAATGCACATGATAAAGCTTCGGGAATAATAGGGGTAGGTACCGATTCTTCCTCATGTACCACCATTTCCAAGAAGTGTTTGAAAGTCTGCATTATGTCAATTAAAATAGATAACATATGCAGGTACCAAGGGACGCTTTAACTTACCTATCATGATGAAGTTCTACCTAATATCTGAAGAGGTAGTTAATAATCCATGTGTGAGTAATTATTAAATAAATTTGGATGTACAATTGTAGGAGTATATATGATATTTGTATCTTTTGTGTTTGAGCCTTTTGGATCACGTTTTCTTTGTCTTTTTTCGTTTCTTTTTTACCTAGGGCGGTGATACATTTGCTATCTATTTATTTATTCGCTTGTATGTATTTATTGGGATAATATTAATTACTTACTGATAATTATTACTGAAACAATATTTTTACTGCTATGTTGTATTGTGAACTATACAATATTGCGGGTATTATTATTTTATATGTATTTTATGAAAATCTAATTCAGCTATGAAATGGTTCACAAAATTCACAACTTTTACGGGCTTTGAACTTATAACGTACGTAACAATATAACCATCATTAATAAGATAACAAATAAAAATAAAGTTTCAAAAAGAAATAAAATAAAATTTATAATTATTCTATTTTCAATTAAAATTAAATTATACAAACAATATTAGATATTATTATTATTATTTTCATCATGAAATTAGATTTTGATAAAATACATATATAAGTTGAGATGCGTGACATTTTTCTTTGTAAAGAGATATGAAAGAAAGATCTAAATAAGCCGTGAAGGATTTTATCAAAGAGCTTAGTTGAAGCGCAAAAAGACCGCTCCTTCGAGGATTTCCTTAACCTACAATGTCTCCGATAAAGATCATAAATATTTATCAGCAAATACATATCTTTTTCAATCGGGAGTTATCGCGTTTTTATCTTTACAGATATCCCATTATGTCGTTACCTAGTAATCTAGAGCAATTAAAAGCAATTTTAACTACCATCTCCAGTTTACATGATGAGTTCCTGTAATTATTTTGTCATAGGTCTCTTTTGCAATTTGCTCCATCGTAGTAGCTATGGAAAGAATAATCGATTTAAAATTGATTCATGTATTATTTAATAATTAAAATATAAATTAAATGTTTAGAAAACGTGATATTCAATAGAAAATTTCAAAATTGTATATGTAGATATATTTTGTAATACCACAGATAACATAATATTACATAATACCTACTTTTTAATTTTTTTTTATTTGTTACAAAATTATTAAATTAGATTTAGTAAGAAATAAAAAAATATATGTGACTGATTTTTTTAATTAATAAGAGTAAATAACATTATATAAGTTGGAATGTTCTCAGTCCTAATTTATGAAAAGCCTGCCAAAATTTTCATAAATAAACACAATAAATTTAAATAGTAGTATAGAATCTACTAAATTGTAAAAATATTTTGTATTTAATAAAAAGTCACCTCTCATCTTGCTTATAAATGCCAGTGTCCGCGGGGATGAAAACGTAAATAACATTAGCCACGGTAAGATGGTCTTTAATTGAATCCACTGTGGGTCACGAATAGAATTTATTTCGAGTCAAACACCCCGCAATAAATTTTATTGCGAAAGCCGTTTTAACCTAAAAATTCCAAGAAGATCCAATTTAAGCTTCGCATAATCCGGCGACGAGATGAGTATCGCGCGTCTCTTCGCGACCCCCTCCCAAGGTTCCCAGAGCTTTAGAAACGGCGACGCACACGTAGTATCTTACAGTATAAGCATATCTCTGTTGTTGTTTAGCTTCATCTTAGTTGGGGGACTACAGCACTAGCGCCAAGATGATCGGTATCTGTCCGCAAGCCACACGATCCGTGAGAATCCCTTAGATAAAACTTCTGAGCACAGATGTATGCGATTTAATCTGCTTCATTACACTGACTGCATATTCAAGGAGCTCACGCGACGGGAGACTAGTAAACAATCAATTTTTTAAGATATTAGACCTAAACGTGCCGCAATAAGTGTCCATATCGTAGACGATTACCACGCGCCGATACTTTGCTTAGTATCTTGTGATTTAATCACAGGAGGCGGTATTGAGTGTAAAGAAAGTAATGACCAAGTGCATTCGTCACGAAGCAGTGCACCGCACACGAAGATAGCTTCTGGCTGTATTTTGTTTATATTAAATATTTTAGATATTGTAAATATATTTGTACGTAACAATATGCAAAAGATGTATAGATATAAGCCTTGTGACAGAGTTCTTGTACAGCAGTAACTGACTGGAAATATTATTAACTGTCATTGTTTTTCTTTTATTTAATTTATGTCATAATAAACTGAACTAGTTAATTATAATATAAACAAAAATGTCGCTAAGTAAAACAATGGCATATGATATATGATATACAGTAAACACGACATATCGATCTTTGTCATCGGATACAGATTTATAACAAATTTTACATTACTATCTTTATAGACATCACCAGACCGTCGGAAAGATGAATAGACTATCAATCAGATTTTGACATTTCTCACATTTCAATTAAGATATACATTTGTACAACTGTAGTCCGTGAGTGAAATGGAACAGGCATAGATACACACATAGGTGGTGACCTATGTGAAAAATGTTATAAAATATAAACTGCGACGTGAAGATTCGTCAAGAGAGCACGCAGCGACCTGCCCGCCCACTCATGTACCACTTTCCAAATTCCACGTAGAAGCACTTGCAATCCGTTAGGTACCTATATCTGTAAAATAGATACACTAATTAAATTAAAATGGATAATAATATACTATCAATAATCTAGTATTAGTATTGTACGAAAGTAAAATAATAAAGGTTATAAACGGAAATACGTGCAAATAATTAAAAATACAATGTACATTTTGAAAAGGTTAATTTTAAATCTTATCTATTAATTTTACTTTTGTCTGTGTAAGCTTTATAACAAGTATTCATATATGTATATTTAGTTAGTATTACAATTCTACGTTAATCTAGTTTAGGCAGCCAACTGGGAGTTGTTGAAATTCGTGTCGTCCCTTAATAATAGTCGGTTGTTGCTTCCATGAGGCAATTAATTCCTTGCTGGTTGCGAAGCGTACGTTAAACGCTACTGCAGTACACTTTCTTAACATTCTCTAGTATAACCGAATCTATTATACATTTTTATTTGTACATTTGAGTTTTCTAACTACAATGTATTATTTTCTTTTATTATTAGTATTTAAAAAATATGGCATAGGTATGTGCATGCATCACAATGTCGGTACAAAATTAACCAATATTGATAAAAATGCATTACAAGACTGTAATTTGAACACAATAGTAAATATTATGTGTAACTTCTGTAATTTTGTTAAATTTTCATCATAAAGTAAAAATATTTGTAAAAAGCTATGTTGTGAATAAATGCCAAAGTATTAATGAATGTAGTAAAGTACATTCTTCTTTTATGAAGAAGTTTTTAAATTGAGTTTCCATTAGATAGATAAATACGAGGACCTGTTTATGAGAAAAAGAATTTAGAACTTATTTAAAACTGGAAAAAAGTTATCACTAAGCTTACAACATTACGCTTAAAAGGTTCATTACCCAAAGAAGTTTTAGCATTGCAAATAACTCTGTGTACATTCAAGTACATCGGTATGCAAAATGGACTGATATAAAACACCGTAAAATTTCCCAGAGTGGCCCACCCCGACACTGGTGCATGAATATTCAGGGGCGTGTCGGGCGCCACTCGCGTTCGGCAATAACTGTTAACTCGTGTCTCGTGTAGTGTAGGTAGAACCACCCGTGGTCTACCCTATTCGACTGTGCACTGCACTTACTTCTCTCTGTACTTCACTTAGCGAATAACTTTATGTTATTATAAAAAATAACTTTCTTTTACTATCAATCAACAAAATCATAGACAAATAAGAGATACCAAACCTGATTGGAAGAATAGGTATATTAGCGTAATAGGCAGTAAACACTTAAGCCACATATTACGGGTAACGTAATTCTACGTTTATTTACGTTGATGAAGGTTGCATTGAATTGCGAGGTCTCCAGTCTACGCGCGAGGCTGCGCTGGCGCACGCGTCTCGGTGGCGCCAAAGCTGACTCTTGCGCAACTTCGTGACAGCCGCGTTTACGACTCTTCCCAATCAAAAGATTCCACC